TCGCTTCAACCCGCGGACATGAAAAACAACCCGCGGCAACAGTGTATATACACTGTCCAATTCTGAGGGGAAACCGCGGACTTGGCAACTCTGCCAAGAAGGCTCATTCTTCCTCATTAGGTGACGATCCGCACGCTGATTGGAGTTATGTTAATGAGGGGGCGAGGCCTTGGGAAATGAGTAGGTGACGTCAACTCTCATTCCGCAGAGAGCGAAACAAACATGGCGACAGGATGGAGTGGCAAAGGGTGTACGCTAACGTTAATGCTGTTCTTTTGGAGTAAAATCTGCGCGAATAGAGCGGAACCCCTGGGGAGCGACAGCCGAATCCTCGGCATGCGGCTGGAGTGGAGCGACAAGCCCGCCACGACCACCGACAATGGAATCATACAGGTAACCGAGGGGAGCAAAATCAAGCTCAGGTTCTACGGACTGCAAATCAGTAATGACACCTGGGAGCAGATTAAGTTCGTGGAGCAGGGCGAGGACAGCAGCTCTGACTTCAACAGGACTTGTGCTGACTTCACCAAAGACCTCTCCATCCAGCCTAAAATGGAGGTTAGCAGCCAGGGCACATCTGGGGTGCTGGAGGTCAGTATTAAACCACTTAGGAAAAGTGAGTCCCAGAGGGATTACGGGCTGTGCATCAGACACAGCCAAGATGGGAAGTGGTACCTCCTGGGAGCACATGATGGAAAGTTGCATGTGGTGGAGGAGAAGAAGTCTCTGCTTCCCATTTGGTTCCAGGTGATCTTGATTTCCTGCCTCCTGGTGCTCTCAGGTATGTTCAGTGGTCTAAACCTGGGGCTCATGGCTTTGGACCCCATGGAACTGCGAATCGTCCAGAGCTGTGGCACGGAGAAAGAGAAGAAGTACGCACGCAAGATTGAACCCATCCGGAAGAAAGGAAACTATCTGTTGTGCTCGCTTCTCCTCGGGAACGTGCTGGTCAACACCACACTGACCATCCTGCTCGATGATCTTATCGGCTCTGGTTTGGGTGCTGTGGTGGCATCAACCATCGGCATCGTCATCTTCGGCGAGATCGTTCCTCAGGCGCTCTGCTCTCGCCACGGCTTGGCGGTGGGCGCCAACACCATCCACCTCACCAAGTTCTTCATGCTTCTGACCTTTCCGCTGTCGTTCCCCATCAGCAAACTTCTAGATTGCATTCTGGGCCAGGAGATCGGCACCGTGTACAACCGGGAGAAGCTGGTGGGGATGCTGAAGGTGACTGCGCCATACAACGACCTGGTGAAAGAGGAGATGAACATGATCCAGGGTGCTCTGGAATTGAGGACTAAGACAGTGGAGGACATCATGACTCCACTCAGCAACTGTTTTATGATCAACAGCGATGCTGTGCTGGACTTCAACACTATGTCAGAAATCATGGAGAGCGGATACACGCGCATTCCAGTTTATGAGCACGAACAGACCAATATAGTGGACATCCTCTTTGTGAAAGACCTGGCGTTTGTGGATCCGGATGACTGCACTACGTTGAAGACCATCACTAAATTCTACAACCATCCGGTCCACTTTGTGTTTCACGACACTAAGTTGGATTCCATGCTGGAGGAGTTTAAGAAAGGTTAGTCACTTTTTTTTCTTTTTTTTCTGCTGCAGCATTTCTCATTGTCACTACCGGTGATGTTCATCTTGTGTAGCGAGGAACAGTACAGCCGGAGGGAGGGAGCTGTATCAGCAGTGATGTCACTTTTACAGGGTTTGTGGAGAAGGCCGCTCATTCTGTCTATTCTTAATTAGTTCCACTCCTAATCAGGTTGGAAAACACACATCCTCACATCCCTGTGGGCCTTTCTCTCCTCCTCTGACTGTCAAGGTCAGCTGTTGGTAGTCTTTCTTCTCTTATTTCCTAAAGCCCATGAAGTCGACATGAAGTCCCTATTGACCTTGTTTGCTTCCTAAAACACATTTGTGGTCTGACTGTGAATGATCATCAGTGCATGTTATTTCAGTACAAAAAAAAAGTGTTTTCAATCTTTCCAACTGTAATGATTCTCTACATTTTTATTCCATCCCTCCAAAACCGGTCATATAGTGTTATTTTAGTGTTGTTTGTATCCTATAATAATTTTGTAATAATATTTTGAATGTGATTTGATAATTTTATTGATTTTAATATTGTATAGTAATTTTTTTTTGTAATTTTAGGTCGTTTTTAATATTACTATTTAATTATTTTTTCTAATATTCTAATAAAACAATGTAATATTTTTATTTTTATCTCTGTTTTATTTTAATTAACAAAACTGAATGAATAGCTTCAGTTAATGATAATAACCCTGATATAAAGAGCTTATCATGATCCGGTCAATTATGTAATTAAGTCCAGCCCCATTTTTTTCCATTGAATATCCTGTTTCACCTACAAATTGGCACATTACAGAAGTAAAATGACTTGTGAATGCCATTTCATGTCGTGAAGTTTTTGGAAATATTTCCCAGCAAGTCTTCAATTCAGTAAATCCTTAGTTGATTAAGTTGATCTTAGTTGATTAACCATGGGTAACCATTGTACCATGTTTTTACTACAGGCCCTCTGGGAAATATGTTTAAGCGGACATTTGTAATTCACTTCTAAAGCCTTGTATAAATACTGAGCTGAAATTTAACATTGTAGAGCTGTTTGACTAATCACATGTGTTTGTTGTCATCACAATAGCCCGGACACTAATGATGGAGCAAAACCTGCTGTCTAATCACTGCTTGCACAAGTTTACTGTCAGCAGGCTTTGACTTGGGGTTTGAGCTACATTTCCAGAACTTGAACTGTTCTATTGCTGAACTTATAAATAAGTGTGTATATTCTTCTATATTATTATATTTGGCATTAATTTAAACAGCCAAACCAGTCAAAATGGCATATTAATTAGCCTACATTCATTTAAAATCTGATTGACTGCCTGCCCTGTAGTCTAGTATAAAATTCTCAAGTTTGGGATTTATACTGTGCTAACATTCCTGCCATATTAGTTTTTAGTTTTTAATAAACTGAAGTGGCACTATAGCTCATTCGCTATAAGTGATAGTCTCACAATATATTGTGCTCATGTGAATGGTACATGACAGTACCAAAGGACATTAGCACTGATAACATGATAACTTCTTAATGTTGAAGCTAGATAAAATGTTTGGTTTTACTGTTAATCTTTTTAAACCTGGTTCCATGGTGCATTGAATATCTCAGAAATTGTTATGGTTATCTGAAAGGTACCATATTAGACTTATGACTCTGTTGATGTCACGACTTGCACCTTAAAGGGATAGTTTACCTAAAAAAATTAAAATTCTGTCATTATTTACTCGCCCTCAAGTTGTTCAAAGATATGTTAAAGAATGTTTGTAACCAACCAATCAAGTCAATGGCTACCAGCATTGACTTGATTGGTTTCGTTTCCAACATTCTTTAAAATATATATTTTTTGTGTGTTTTAGAAATTCAGACATTTTTGGAATGACATGAGGGTGAATAAATAATGACAATTTTCATTTTAACTGGAGACCAAAGAGACAGTCAAGACCTAAGATGTATGCATTCATTCTGTCCTTTGGACTTGGACAGGTAATACATTACTTACCAGTCACTAGTGGATAAAAACTGTTTAGCCACATGTAAGCGTATGTGATTTAGAATCATTAGGCTTGTATGAGTTTGTTGGATAATATATGAAGAAATCATGAACTGAAACATTTATTTCTTTAAAAAAGTGAAGTGAAAGTGACGTGACATGTGGCCAAGTATGGTGACCCATACTCGGAATTAGTGCTCTGCATTTACCCATCCAAAGTGCACACACACAGCAGTGAACACACACACACCGTGAACACACACCCGGAGCAGTGGGCAGCCATTTTATGCTGCGGCGCCCGGGGAGCAGTTGGGGGTTCGGTGCCTTGCTCAAGGGCACCTCAGTCGTGGTATTGAAGGTGGGAGAGAGCGCTGTACATTCACTCCCCCCACCTACAATCCCTGCCGGTACGAGACTCGAACCTGCAACCTTTGGGTTATGAGTCCGACTCTCTAACCATTAGGCCACGACTTCCCCGACTTTAGTTGCATAACTGGTTTCAGCTGTCATTTAAATGTAGGAGGTTTTATTGAATTGACTTTTGGAGGTCTGTATCACCTCTATACACATTCAGAATTCAGTGTATTGCACTGTACATACTGTATATTGCCTACTATTTTCAATAGCATGCCAAACCATAGTCAGTATGTGACTATACGTATTTCTAATAGTAGTATGCTGTATTTTTGTCACATGGCTGTCCAGTTATCATCTCTAATTTTTTTTATTTTGCATTTAATAATTAATAATACTGGTAACACTTTACATTTAAGATCTGATAATATTAGTTCATGCATTAGCTAACATGAACTAACAATGAACCTCTATACACATTCAGAATTCAGTGTATTACACTGTACATACTGTATATTGCCTACTATTTTCAATAGCATGCCAAACCATAGTCAGTGCTGTATTTTTGTCACATGGCTGTCCAGTTATCATCTCTAATTTTTTTTATTTTGCATTTAATAATTAATAATACTGGTAACACTTTACATTTAAGATCTGATAATATTAGTTCATGCATTAGCTAACATGAACTAACAATGAACAACAGACACTGAAAAAAAAAATGGGTAGGATTTACTTAGAAACAATTTTACTCAGAAATTGCTAGTAAATTTCACAAATAATTACAAAGATAAAGTGAATGACACTTTGAAAATTAAGTAGAAAGACCAATGTACTCCAGTAATCTGTTTTCATTTACAACTTCAAAAACACTATTATTATAAATTACAATTTTTTTGAAGCATTTATTAATCTTTGTAATGTTAGTTAGAAATACACTTATTTATTATTTGTTCACATTAGTTCACAGTGCATTAACTAATGCAAACTGTTTGTTTTGAAAATGTCTTTGTAAATGTTGTAGGCTAATTATTAAGATAATGCTGAAGAAGTGTAACCTTAATATTAAGTATTGCATAATAACTATTTAAATAATAATAATAATAAAAAACATCCAATCAAATAATGTGTTAATGAATGATGTTTAAAATTGCAGTTGATAATATTGAATCATTTGGCATACTAGTAAGGACGAAAGGGTCATGTCAAGTGCATTACATTGTAGGATACAGTATTCAATATTGTGTGCTCTAGTGCACAAGTGTGAACAGATGATTTTGTCAATCTAGCTCTCAAGTCACCTGGGGCCTGTACCAAACAAATTCCGGGTTACAAGATTAGTTTCATGTTGACAAAACCAAACCACTCCAATTTGGCTTTGTTGGTACCATGATGCTGATCCTCAACTTTCTTTAGGGCCTTTCGCACCGCTTTAGTTCCAGAACTAAATGTACAGTACTAAAGTACTGGGATGATTTTGCGTGAACTATTCCCCAGTACAATTTAAAGGGTTGCATTCGCACCGACAGTGTGTACTAAGAAATTACGTAAGCTGGTCAACAGCGACGTCATTTGTGCGCGGCGTTCAACAACGGAAACAAAGAAGAACAACGTTAACAACAGGAGGATGGAGGACTCTGTGATCGAAGCTGTGTTTTTGTTGTCTCGTGGGTTTCACAATAATGGACATGGAATGTCGACGTATATGTAAAGCGATTGAAAGCATGGAAAGGAGGACTAAGAATCTCCAACGACAACTGGCAGTGCTACATTTGCTACAAGTGCCTGCACTTCAGCGTCCGTCCATCTATCGCTGTTCTCCATACTTGCGAAATAAGTTGACACAATGTTTACAGTGTTTACACGGCGTTTTAAATCATGGCGGGTGAGGGCGTTTTCGTACGCGTTTGGCCAATCAATGTCTACTTGCGTCACGGGTAGTACCAGTTGTGCTGGTTAGACCCTGCTCCGGAGTAGGAGCTAATTTGGTTCTCGAAAAAGGCAGTCCGGTACTAAAATCGCACCCAGTTCCGGCGGTGCGAAAACGCCAAAAAGTGGGTAGTTCCACAATTAGTTCTGGTACTATGAAAAGGTTCCCGCGGTGCGAAAGGCCCTATAGTCAACTCAGGCTTTGATCCTGAGTTTGTGGTGCACGAACTTGAATGTGTGACATCAGTGGCGAACAGCCAATCACATGCCTTGCAACACAGAGCAAGTGGGAGTCACTTCTCGTGAGAGAGCCAGCGAGATTCAAAACTCTTTTGCTAAAGGTTAAGAGATTGAAGAACATGAGGAATTTAAACGCATTTACACTGAAGAAAGTACTTGTCCATGAAAGAGGACAAATAAAAGAATCATCTTCATCTTTATTATCTTGCTCTATCAGTACAGTCACAAGTGAAACTTGTGAAGTTAGTGTATATAGTAGGGCTGCACGATTAATCGAATGTGATTGTCATGCGTATCTTGTCAGTAAAGCCGGTTCTGTGATTAGTAG